ACCTACCTGGAAGCTTTCAAGAAGAGACTGGACTACCATCTGTCAGAAATGGTGTGTAGGGTCTGCTTGGGCAGGGGATTGGCCTATAAGGTCCCTTCCAACTCTGTTAATCTCTCTCTCTCTCTCTCTCTCTCTCTCTGTTTCATTTGAATGAAATTCACTTTCATGTTTTAAGTGTTTGAAATGATCACCGTTGGTGTATTATCAGTGTAGAAGAACGAAGGATAAATTCCTGCATGTAACTGAAAAATACAGGTGGGGAGCTTTCAGTCAATTTGTCTTTTCTTTGAAATGCTCCCACTCACTGCCTAGAAGATGGTCAAGCCTTTGACCATTGAAGCAGTTTTCATAAAGGTCCTGGGAATTTTTAAACGATTGTTCATATACCAAAGATGTAGGAGTTTCTTTTCTCATCTTCAAAATATACCAAATTCTCCCGGTGTTGTTGCAAAGAGAGAAAGGAGAGAAAGTCAGTTGTTTTCACAGGTCAGGCTTATTATTGCCTGTTTGTAACCTTCCTCAAATACCCTTTTGTCTTTGTTCATCAGTTTTGTACGCTTTCACTTAAATATGGATGCATCTATTGGGATGTATTTAGGTGAGACGTCTTGGCTTATTTCCAGTCCTGTGTTGCAAGTTGCATTATAGCAATTCTTTCCCCCCAATAAAGCAGTATCAAATCAAATATTTTGTGCTCCAGGAACCGGTAGAGAGACAAAAGGAAGAAAAGACTAATTTAATTTATTTAATTAAAGGCTAAAAACTAATTCAGTCTAAATTAAAACCGCAGCAGGGAAGGAACGCTGCAGAGTGGCCAGTTCTTGGACAAAAGTCATTAATCGCATAATAACAAATTCAGATTACACAAATTTGCATAAAATGAGGCAAGCCTGTAGTTTATGAAGAAAGAGGACTTTCGGAGAAACAGCAGCATGATTATGCAATGTTTATTGTGGAATTTGTGAAGTAAGGCATGCAGCCTTGATACCACATCAGAAAGAAAAAGGATAAAGAGAGAAAATGGTAACAAAATCAGACACAAATACATTGCTAATGATGTGGGGTCAATTAGGGCAAGATAAATTATAAATAATAATACGCACTGTAGGTATATACTTGCTAGGTAACAAATGTATTACGGTTAACAGAGGAGACCATGAGAGACAGTTATACAACTGATGGGAGATTGAATTTGTGTCGGTCACCGGGACTAGAGATGTATTCTTCCGAGCTTTTGGACTCATGATGGAGCCCATTTTCAGGGAACTTCTCTCTACCGGAACACGTGCTTTGGGCTCGTGTTTATGTGATGTCTTGTCTATGTGATGACTTCCTATTGGCTGATTGGTGTGTTGATGGCTGGCGATTGGCTGTCGTTTCCTTAGGCTGCCAAGCCCTCGGCTCCTAAGAATTTGATAGGCTAGTGGTAATTCAGCACTCCTGTTGATTGATAAGGGGCCAGGCTTCAATCATTTCCCTGGCTATCTTTGTACCTGCTCTGCTGAAAATCTTAGTAGCTGCGAAATTAAATGTGCATCCTTGTTCATTGCAATGTGAGGCTACCAGTGAATTTGGGTCTCCTCATCTGACTGCTCACTTGTGTTCTTGCAATCTCGTGGTTAGCTTCGTCCCCATTTGTCCTACATAATCACAGGGGCAATCCATGCAGGGGATCCAATAGATTACATTGGAAGTATCTCCCACCTCCAAACTATCTTTTACAATGCATAATTTGCCCTGGAGTGGTAGCCGCCTTTGTGAGACATACGTCTATCAATTAGAGATTCCGTAAACGTTACCCACAATGAAGTTTGATTTGTACAAAATAACAGGCACGCTAACAATATCAGACAGGTCAAGTTATCTGTCATGCCCCTGTTGGAGTCTGAATCCGAGGAGGAAGCCGAACAGCTGACAGGGAGTGGGAATGTGGCTCCATTGGCTGTGGAGGAAGCTGGGGAAGGGCAAAGTCTGGCTGGGCAGAGCAGGGAAGAGGTAGAGCAAGGGAGAGGGAGTTCAGAGGAAGACCTAGCTCCCCACCCTTCATCCCAGGGCATGTAAGGAGGAATGGAGAAGGGAGCAACGTGGGTTGTGTGCGGCTTATGGGGGAGGAAAGGGCTCTGATTACCTTCATTAGCTGCAGCTGGGAACACAATTTATAATAAAGGCAAGGTACTTGTGGCAGGCTGTTGGGAGCAAACGTGACTTTATCTTGTATCATCGTGGCTTATCTGTGTTCCTGGCATCTTCCCAACTGTGTGAGTTTTGCCGTGCTTTCAAGTCTGAAATTCCTGCTCCTGCTCTGCCAAACTGATTGCTTCAATTTGGTTGGTTTGGATTTTAAGTTTACAATTTGTGTTTACCCTGTTTCAGACTGAATTTTCTGCAGTCAAAGGCTATTTCTGGGAGAATTTTTCTTCAGCCAGAAGGTAATCTGGACATTGGGGACGAAGTTGGAGATAATAAAGGGACTCTTATTGATTATTTGATTGTGTTACCTTTGTGCCACGCCCTGGATCATCACATTATCTTTAAATGAAAATTCATATACAATGCTAATAGGACTCTAATAAATGTAATTATATGCTTATGTAACAATGCAAGGGATGTGGTGGCTCAGTGGCTAAGACGCTGAGTTTGTCGATCAGAAAGGTTGTCAGTTCGGTGGTTCGAATCCCTAGCACCACGTAACAGAGCGAGCTCCCGTTACTTGTCCCAGCTTCTGCCAACCTGGCAGTTTGAAAGCATGTAAAAATGCAAGTAGAAAAATAGGGACCCCTTTGGTGGGAAGGTAACAGCGTTCTGTGCACCTTCGGCATTTAGTCATGCCAGCCACAGGACCATTGAGACGTCTTCAGACAGTGCTGGCTCTTTGGCTTTGTAACAGAGATGAGCACCGCCCACTAAAGCCGGAAACGATTAGCACATATGTGCGAGGGGAACCTTTACCTTTATAACAATGCATCATTGTCAAGTTTTTCTAACATTTCAAATACAATACTTCATCTCATTTTTGTCCATATTTCATGTTTTGATAAACTCTATAACCCTTTTTAACATTGCAGGGAGTCATTATTTTACTTCATTGCTAAGATGAATAAGCTACCTTAAATAAGTCTTTTGTGGTATTCTACTTACAGTGCGGAGCCAACATTGTGCAAAGTTGCTTTAGCTGTTTGAAATTGTTTCTTGGATTTACTGATGGGGAATCTGTAAACCACATCTTGTGATAGACATTTGTTTTCACGACAAGTTCTTTCACTACAGCCTCACTACATGGGTATTGTTTAGATTGAAATTTCCCTGTCCCTGCCTGCATTTTTAGTTCTCTTATTTTGAAGCTTAGCTGTTCTTGTTGGTTTTATGTGAACTTTTGCACCGGGGTCTCTCCGTCAGACTTCAGTTGAAAGAAGGAAATAGTTGGGTGTGAGTGATTAAGCATAATCTAAACATCAACTGTAACGCTTTGTTATTTCAGACTTCCCTCCCACCAACCCCATCGTAGTTCCAGATATGGAATTGTGAGCCAATCACTTAGGCAGCTGTCCAGAGGATAAATTGGCCATTTCTTGATTTGATTATGGGTTTGAGGTCTCTGGGTAATTTTTTTGGGTTTGATTTAGTTGCACAGGTTAACTTCTATATTTAACTTTGAAAATGACTGTGTTTATAGATTAGATTCTATCTTCTGAAGGAGCCCTGTTCCAAACAGTTTTATGCAATTAAAGTTCACGTTAAAGAAAAAAAAAGTAGCCGTATAAGCTGCCTCCAGTTGGAGCCAGTGCAAAAGATTTGTCCTTGTAATAGATGTGTTGTGAACCGTGTTTTTCTTTAGCAGAAATACAGTATGGTATAGATTTCAGCACAAGTACAATACACAGTGACATGTGGCATTCACAAAACCAGAAGGAGCAAAGTTGTAGTACAGGATTTGTGGGTGCCTTGCTTCTTGTACTTCTTGCGGTATATAAGTCTAAATGCTATGGTTACTGCTATTACTGTATGCTGCAATGTTTTGTGAGAGTGCATCTGTCTTAAGAATGTATTGGATATATTTGGCAAGACACTTTAATAAATTGGACAACTTTGCAACTCTATCAAGATTAAAAAAAAATGGTGAGACAGGAACAAAACAAGTTGCCTTACCTTAAATGAGATTACTGGTTCTATACATGCATGTTTATTTACACAAGTTGGCAGCAGCTTTTTATATTTCCACTGGGGATTTTCCCAGCCCTATCCAGATTAAACTAAGGGCATTCTGTATGTGAAAACAGACAAATGGTTGCCCAATCTCTTCATGAAAACCTACAGTGGTGGAGCACCCACTGGTGGAAGCAAGAAGGAGGCAAGGAACAGTTTCTTTACTGTTGTTTGTCTACAGGCAAAATCTTGCTAGACTAAAGCAATCATTTGCATAATCATAGATGCACTCTACGAATCGCTAGGGAAGAGCCGTCCTTGCCCTCTTCTGCCCACCAGCCATTGCAGCTCTCTCTGCCCACGAGGGAAGAGCCCTCCCCTCCTGTGACTCCAGATTACATCCCACCACAATTTCTTAGGCTTTGGATTAAAGCTTGTACAGGTTGGGGTGAGTTATTTACTGAGCATTCTTTAAGAAAGGATTAACAATAACAACAGCAAGTTTGATCACATCAACCGGCAGATTTGTTGTATAAAGCAGGGGTGTCAGACTGGTGGCCCACTGGCAGAATGCGTCACATGCAGGCCACACCCACCCCAGCTCTGCGAAGGCAAAAAACCCATCGCGATACATCATGTGACATCAACATGATGCGGTGAGTTTGACACCCATGGTATACAGTAATACCCCCATGGTATATAGTAATACCGCTGAAGGAACAGGATGGCATTTCCATTGCTTTGTCTACTAACAGAATTTCCTTTTAAATATGACGGAATTCTTAAATGCATTGTGTTTGACATGAGTTTTGAATGCCCTATTAATTACTCTTTGTCTTTTTTGTTTTGGTTTATAGGAGGGGGCTGCTTACAATTTACATGGCCAATTTGGTAAGTAATGCTATTGTAATGCAGTATACAAAAGCATGAAAGTTATGTACATAGTTATAATCTATATATTTATAATCCTCTTTTCATTCCATGAGATATAGTCCCTTCATTGGCTCAACTGATACCTAGAGCCCAAATCTACATTTGTTTTGGAGCCGAAAAGACAAATAAGTTTCTGAGATGAAGAGCGTTGTCATGTTGTATTAGTCTTTTTCAACTGATGCCTTCCAGCCAGCCCTCCCGATCTAATGCAAATTGGTTCTCTGGGAGCAGTAGGTTATTCAATTATCATTAAAGTTGTTGATAATAAATTTTCCATGGAGAAAAAATAATATATAATGTGACGTGCATTAAAAGTCAATAATAGAAAACAACAGAACTACCAGAAGCATAATCGTGTGATTTATGATGATTGTATTTTATGATTATGATCATATTGTTGCTTATATGTACACTGCACCAGATACAAATTCCTTGTATATCCAATCATACTTGGTCAATAAAGAAAGATTGTTCTAATCAGGGGTGGGATACCACTGGTATAACAACCAGTTCGGTGAGCGTATGCTTTGCGCACTTTCACGCCAAATGCACGCTCCTCCGCATTTAAAAAAGGCAAGCCCATGCTTACCTTCAACTGCAGCCTCTGTGAAGAAAACTGCCAGTTTTCGAACGAACCGGTTCGGATCAAGCTGAACATAGGAACAAGGGGTTCGCCCGATCCGGTCCAAACCAGTAGAATCCCACCCTGGTTCAATTCTAATTCTAATCCTAATCTTATTCCTGGTCTGGTTTGGTCTGGTCCGGTCTGGTCCGGTCCAGTCTGTTTTTAAAGTAAGAAAGTTACTTTAGGTGTTCAGCCGGGTGGAAAAGAGCAAAAAGAAGTTAGAATGAAGTGTATGGTAGGGTTGTTTAGGACAGGGGTCCCCAACCACCAGGCCGTGGACCGGTACCGGTCCGTGGAACATTTCCTACCGGGCCGCCGGTTTGCTGGGCGCCGCCATCTTGTTTGACAAGAAAGTGCTTCCGGGTGAGCTTTTCCGGTTGGAAAGCGGCGTTTGGGTCCTGAAGGAATCCTTGCGCCTTAGTTTCATCGAAGGGCGGGGGCTTCGAACGAAACTAAGGCGCGAGGATTCTTTCAGCACCCAAGGCAAGGCGAGCCGAGTGACCGTCCTGAAGCCGTCCCGAAGCGAAGCCCATCGACAAAGGTACAAAGGAGGAGTTGAAGGTGGCGGGGAGAAGCGGGGGACGGCTGGCTGGCCGGTTGCTCGGCTCGCCTTGCCTTGTCATGTGTGCTGATGCCGGTACCGGGCCGCGGATCATTTTGTGATTCCGGTACTGGGCTGTGGCACAAAAAAGATTGGGGGCCACTGGTTTAGGATATACTTGCTTAGATTTACTTTCAGTAGGAATAGAAGAGCCACAGGGCTGTGCTATAGAATTCTTTAAAAATAGACAGATTGTGTGAGAAATCTGCATTCTTGAAAGTATTCATTCACACAGGACAGCAAAGGGGTGGTGTAGAAGCTGGAAGCCTTTGAATGAAAAACAAGAAATTTGGTTTAGATGTGACAGGAAGATAATCTTTGGATTTTGTGAGGGCATTGTGTGTTTAGAGTGTTATTAAAAAAATAACAGGAATAACTTTACAAAGTGGTGTAAAATTAAAGATAATTGTCCCACACCCTGCCCTCATGAGTCATGTTAAATATTTGTGTACAAACTGTTCATGGATAATTTAAGCAAATAGACTTAAGGATATGACTTTTAATAACAAAGTTTCTTTTAGAGTTTTTCAAATATGGCTATCTTAACCTAGAAAATATTGAAAGTATTGCTCACCTTATTGTTGCACTCATAATCTCATATATATTTAAATGCCTATTAATTGAGTAAAATATCTAAATTCATAAATCCATTAAAATGATATATATTTATTAAGCAACTAAACTTTTATAATACAAGTAGTCCTCACTTAATGACAGGAGTGGAATTTCTGATACTGAATTTATGAAGCATGATGTTACATGTACATGGCACTTAGCAAGAGCAATTCCAGCAGTCCCTGGTTACCATTGTTAAGCAAAGATTGTGCGGTTCGTTAAGGGAAAGCGACCACGATTTCTGACTTCCTACCGGCTTCCCCATTGACTTTGCTCGTGGGAAGCTGGCAGGGAAGGTTGCAAATCAGAGTCATGCGATGGCGAGACACTGCAGTGACTGGAAATCTGATACGGTTGCTGAGTGACAAATCACAATCACATGACCAAGACCAGAACTTTTGAGGATCAGTCGCAATAGCACTCAGATTTATATAAAATGGTATACAGAGTCAACATATTGCCCACAACAATTTGGGTCCTCATTTTACCCACCTCGGAAGGATGGAAGGCTGAGTCAACCTTGAGCCTGGTGGGATTTGAACTGCCAAATTGTAGGCAGCTGGCTGCAGAAGTAGCTTGCAATACTGCACTCTAACCACTGCACCACAGGGGCTCCTGGGAGTAACTATCATAGTTGCCACTTGTTCAGTGCTTTTGCAAATGTGAATGATTGCTGAGCAAGCCATTGTTAAGTGAGGATGACCTGTAATATATTTTGGATTTCATACCATCCTTCTATAGGTAAAATAGATTCATGTACCCACTGATGACTAGATAATTGATAAAGTTGTTAGGCAACTTAAGTAACCGATAGTTTTTTTGAAACATTGTTTTGTGTTAATATAACAACTTAAACTCAAAGACTTTGGCCACCTAATGAGAAGGAAGGACTCCCTGGAGAAGAGCCTAAGGCTGGGAATGATTGAGGGCAAAAGAAGAAGAAGGAGATGGCAGAAAATGAGATGGCTGAATGGAGTCACTGAAGCAGTGAACTTAAATGGATTCTGGAGGATGGTAGAGGACAGGAAGGTCTGGAGGAATGTTGCGATGGGTTGGACACAACTTCACAACCAACAATAACAACAACATCTTAAATTACCACTTGCGTTATTAGTCTAAACACTAAGTCTATACTAGTCTTCCCCAACCTGAACATTTTTAAGATTTTGAGCTCATTTCCAGAATTTTCAATTGTTGCCACATTGGCTGGGGAATTTTTCGGGTAAAAATCCTGAGAACTTGAAAGAAGGCTGTTCCAGTTGTTCTTTATTTATTTTTCAATTCCCTGGGTGACTCTTTCTTCCAAGAATGAAGGAAACTTTTGATTGTTTAGCAACTAGACTGTGTATTTACAGAAACAGAGGATCAACAATTATTTATTTATTCTAACCTGGGAGTGTGGGAGGCCTGTTAATGTGACTTAACAACATTTCTGCATATCAAAAGATGAATCAACTTTTATTTAGGTATTTATTTCCTGCTTTTATTATTTTTATAACCTCAAGTCAGCGAATATACCTAATACTCCCTTCTTCCTCCTCCTATTTTCCCCATAACAACTACCCTCTAAGATAAGTTGGACTGAGAGAGTGTATTTAATCTAAACTTACCCAGATAGCTCTCTTGCCTAAGGTGAGACTAGAACTCATGGACTCCTCTAGTTTCTACCCTAGTGCCTTTCAATAAACATGTCCAGAGACCACAAAACAACCTTTTTCATTTTTTTCCTGTCCCTTCCTATTCCATCAAACCTTGACTGGTGAAAAATTCTTAGAAACAATTCTATTTTCTAAACATTCAATTAGCCAACAAAAATATTGCCTCAGTTCTGATTTTGGATGTTGATGTGTTTCTCATAGGTTGCATACCTGATTTTTCATGTAATACTGAATAAAAAGTGATTAAAATAAGTTGAGGTTTAGTTCTAAACTGGGATGTTTCCCCCCCCCCCCTTTATTATTGTAATGGAATATATCTGCCCATTGTAACAATATAGTCTTAAAGTAAAATCTAAGTTTAATATAAGCACTGCAGGATGTTTATTTTTTAATTTGTTCAATTTGGTGTTCAATTTTGTTTCCTCTAGAAGCCCAAGAATGTATCCATAATTCTCTTTCTTTCACTTTTTCTTGGCAACAGCAACCCAATGGGGCTAGTAAGTTGTGCTGAGAGACAAAGACTGTCTCAAAGTCACTTTATGAGCTTCCATGGTTACTTGAACCAGATGTTCCCTGTCTCCATAGGCCTAAATCAGTGGTGGTATTCTACTGGTTCGGCCTGGTTCTGCTGAGCTGGTAGCAGCGATGAGCAACGGAGACCGAACTGATTCTCTCCGATGCTCTGCTCTTGAGCCCACCTACCCACCCACCTGGGGTCCCATACTCACCTGTATCCTCTGAATTTGAAGAGCAACTGCTTTGTGTGGCAGAGAAGAGTGCCTGCCGCGTGGCAGCTGTTGAAGTGATTGGGAGAGTGCAGGCTTGCGGGAGGTGAGTTAGAACGCTTCTGCGCCTGTGTAAAGTGCATGTTTGGCATGCGCGCGCAAAGTGTGTGTACACGCGCAAAGCATGCCTACCAAGCCAGGTCCACCAAACGGGTGGTAAAAATATTTGAATCCTACCACTGGCCTAAATACAATAAAATATAGACATGTAGTTTTCTACTCAAATGCATGATGATCTATAAAGACCCTATAATTTCAGGATCATGTTGGCAACATTTGACTATGGCCAAGCTTTAGAAATTCAGCATCTTCTTTATTGTAGAATTTCTGAGGAATTATCAAGTGGTCCCAGGTACTAAATACCAAGGCCACGAAATGTATATCCTGCTTAAATCTAAGATTTACAAGGCAACCATCCTCCCTGCTGCACTGTGTGGCACTGAATGCTGGACAGCAACAACAGGGACCGAAAGCTCTCTCCATGCTGTGGAAATGTGAATGTTCTGTTGGGTATCGGGCAGCTCCCTTCTTGACCACATCACAAGCGACACAATTCGACAACATTTTGGTGTGGCACCAATTATAGAGAAGACGAGAGAAGGCCGCCTCTGCTGGTCCGGGCACGTCCAGAGACCAGCACCTTCTGCAGTTGCCAAGACTGCCTACCAATTAGA